GAGAGCACACGGGGGAGTGGATGCGTGAACGTTGGATATTCCTATTCTTATATTTTTCTTACCCGGACCCCCCCCCCCTAGACCGGACCCCCCCCCCAGGACACCCCAGACGCCCCTGCCCTCCACCCGACGCACGCCCTAGACGCCCTTTCGGAGTCCCAGCGGCCTTCCGGGCAGGTGGGCGCCCCTCCCCTGCCGATCGGAGCCCACGGGCCCAAAACGGGCCCCATGACGGGCCATCAGCGCTCAAAGAGGACCACTATGGTTTCAAGACGGCCCACGAGGCCCCCAAGACGGTCCAAGAGGCCCCAAAAGGGACCCCCAAGAGTCACAAATCGCCTTATTCCCCGGGGAACCGTACGTTTTTGAACATATTGGCTCATTCCGCTGTCACAGCGTCAACGGCATCTCAAGAGACTTCCAAGATCGCCCCAGGATGGCCTCCGAGGCCTTTATGAGCGGCCCAATGCGGCCCCAAAAAACTCCAAGACGGATCAAGAGAAGCCCAAGGCAGCCCAAGAGGGTCCCCGAAAAACCCTTGGCCGGCCGGGCCTCCCAAAAAGGCCAAGGGAGGGTTCCGGGACGGCCCAAGGGGGCTCCAAGACGGCCCAAAACAACCCCAAAAGGAGTCTTCTGGTCCGGAGAGCCACCAGGAACTCAAACGCGAGCCCACACCGTTCCAACATAATTTCCAGCAGTTCTCTTATACTCTTACACTCCACGACGCCGTAGTTCGCAGGACTGTGGTTCGAAAGGACTTCAAAACCCCACAAGCGTCCAGGACCCCCCCAGGCATTCAGGAAGCGACCATTCGTCGTCGCCGCTGTCGCCGTCGTCGTCCTATGGAGGAGCAGGAGGTCTCGGCCTGTTTTCTGAGCGCTTTTGGTCCTATTGGGAGCTTCCAGAGGCCCTCGAGAGACGAGCGCCCCCTCTGCAGTTCAGACGAGAGCCCCATCGTCGTCGTCGTCGTTGTCGTCGGCGTCGTCGTCGTCGTCGTCGTAGTCGTCGTCGAGGTGGTGGTTGTGGTGGTGGGGCTGGTGGTGGTGGTGGTGCGGTGGTGGTGCGAGGTCCAGGGATAGCAGAAAAATGAGCCAGTCGCCCGTCCAGACCTCGACGCCCCCTCTGCTGAAACACGCCTTTTTCGGAGAAGCGTCCGAGCAACGCGCATGGCGCGAAACGCCAATGCAGTTTTGTATATGTATATGTGTACGTATATGTATGTGTGTATAATCTATATATATATATATATATACATATATATATGTGTGTATGTCTATATGTATTGCTGGCACAACTGGTCTTTGAAACAAGATCGAACCAGATTTTTTGATCGGGCCTCATTTTCTGGCGCCCCGGCGCCGTACCCGCAGCACCCCAGAGTGTGTCCATGTGCTGGCATGCGTCTTGCTTGCGACATGGCACAGGCGCAGGGCGGCGAGAGCTTCACTAGCCTCAGAACTTCCGCAGGGCCTTCAAGGCATAGTGGCTGGCTCATCCCCTCGGCCAGCCTTGGGGGTCTGGGGTGATGAAGGGGAGTAGGGGTGCTGACAAGTCATGCGCCCTTGCATGAAGAGGTGGCTGCCGCGTGACACTGGTTCGACGCGCTGGCGCGCCGCTCTGCGCACAAGGCCGGGCTAAAACACCATCGAAGTTTTGGGGGGGTTGCTGTCAAGGGAGAGGGAAGACACGGCACCGGACTGTTTCCCTAGTGTGGGAGCCGTGAATTATTTACAAATGGCAAGCGTGGTTAATCCGTCAAGCAGACATGTTTGTGAACGTGGCTTGTGCTTCGAAGCATTATGCAAATATTGATGTAAAACGTGTAAATGTCTTCTGGGAGAGCAGAAGCGATCCCTTGGAGACCAATTGGGGGCACTTTGTGCCGTCGATGGGGAAACATACTTTTGCCGCAGTCCATCACTTCCTGTCACATTCAGGCCGAACCGATTCCGGAATGAACGCCTTCGAGGGTAAGTTCAGCGAGGCGTTTGATGAAGGGCAGCACCGTGCCGTTAGTTCAGAGACACGTTCAAACATGATTCGGATTTCAAGGCCGTCATTGAAACCAAGGTGGTGCTCACTAACCGAGCATACTTCGGTTGGAAATGGCCCGCCTACACGGCCAGTGCGGCCGACTCTGAAGGTGGGACTTCCTCTGGGACTTCCGCTGGCGACTTCTCCCCAGGACCCCTCTGGACCCCGGGGGGAACGTACTCTGATTGGGGAAGGGATCGAGGGGAAGGGGCTTCTCTTCGACTTGACTACGACGTCCCTTTTTTCTTTGTTTCTCAATTTCCTTGTGACTGACGACGACCACGACGACGACGATGACGACGACGACGACGACAGCGTCTTCCGCTCGCCGAAGGGTCGGCGGATACCCATGGACAGATTTGTTGTCCACCGATATTGCGTATTTCCACATGTGCAGTTTACTAGGGAAATGCACGAGTGAGCGCCACTGCTGCATATTGAAGCCACCATTGAGGCGACAGATCGCAGACCAGATGAATGTTCAACTATGACGCCATGGCCGACTAAGAACTTGGACATGAAGAGGCTAAAGCAATACGCGCCCAGAGTGGATTTTTTTTCACGTTGATACTTCTACTTATATGTCTATAGGTATCATCAAACACAGCATTTGATACGACCGCCCAGATTTGCAAGAACGTGACAACCACTAGTTGCGAACAGACCTGCGAGATCGATCCCATCTCAGACTTGCATTATGTGGGGGAGGTGCCAAGCAGCCAGCGCGCCGTTGCATCGTGCACAGTACCTTGGCATCTGGGCGAAAGCGGTCGCCTTTCTGTCGCAGATGTTGTTTGCGTAGCCTGCTGTGTCATGCTGGTGCCCTGCCGTTGCTGCTGCTACCGCCGCTGCCAGCCACTGTCGTTGCTTATGCTGGGCTGCCAGCCTCTGCAGCTGGTGCAGCCACGCTTCCACTCTCCGCTGCTGATGCTGCCTGGGCGGTCCACGTGCCCATTTTTCGGCACGCCCATTACACAGAACGTGCCCCACAGCGAGCTTCACCTGCGGCTCTGCCCCGTAAGTTTCGGCGCAGCGTTCAGATGAAACGTGCACCATCGGAAACTCCACCTACAGCACCTTTGCGGGCGTTCGCAGGCTATCGCACCACCTGTGTCGGCACACCTCTCACATGGACCATTCCCAGCAGGGAGTTCCACCTACGGGCCCAGTCGGGGCATTTGCATGGGATTGCCCCGCCCATCTCGGAACACACATCACACAGATCGTGGCCCCAATGTGGTTGGTTGCATGCGCTCGCCCCGCCCATTTTGGCACACCACTCACGTGGATCGTGCCCGCATGCGGTCGTTCCGCTTGATCCCTCCTCCTCGCGGTTCGCACTATGGCGATAAGAGGACCACGCCCTGAGCTACGCGCTGTTGCTTAGGTTGACTTTCGCCAGGCTAGTTCGTGCCTCTACCTCCTCATCCTTCTGTTCCTCTTTCTTTTCCCCCTCCTCCTCCTCCTCCGGCCTTCGCCTCCGTACCCATGCTGGCCCATCGCCGGGCGCGCGGCGGGCGGCGCCCACCCCGCCCGCCGGGCGGCGGCCACTGAGCCAGCCGGCGGGCGCTGGCGCGGCGGGATGCGTCCGGGCGCGCCGGCCAGCACGCTGGTCGCTGCGGTGCTGCTCTGCGTGGCGGGCCCTGGCGCGGGCCGGCCCAGAGGCGGCGACAAGGGAGCCCTGCGCTGCGAGACGTGCCAGCTGCTGGCCACGCAGCTGCACGAGGCGGTTCTGGACCGGCTGGACCGCTCCACAGACCGCAGCTTCCGCCTGGCCGCGGCGGTGGAGGGGGCGCTCGGGGAGGCGGACCTGTGCCGGCACTTCCGTGAGAAAGGCGGCGAGATGGAGGCGTTTGCGCAGCGGGCCGGCCTGGGCGGCGGCGAGATGGCGCTGGAGTGCGGGCGGCAGCTGGCGGACTTCTTCGACGACTTCGAGGCCGCGCTGCGGCGGGCCGCCTCGGAGGGGGCCAGTGCCGGCGGCGCGGCCGACGCGGCCGCGGCGGCGGTGCGCGAGGCCGTGTGCCTCAAGAAGCGCGGGAAGCGGAAGCGGGCGCTGTGCGACGAGGGCCTGTGGAGCGAGAGCCGCGCGCCGATGGCGGCGAGCCGCGCGCGCCGCGAGGCGCGCCTGGAGGGCGAGGCGGCGGCCGCGTCCGGGGCGGAGTTCCTCCGTGAGAACGGGGCCAGGCCGGGCTCGGGGCTCCCGTCCTGAAAAAATCCGGGCAGCAGTTTTTTTGTACAGTTTTGGGCCTCTGGGGGCCCTCGCCGGGGACTGTCAACAAAAGCGACACATGATGAGAAATTGGTCCTGGGGAGGGACTTCTGGGTATTCCAGAATTGAAACAATTCAGACATCGCACCTCTGGGCGGGAGCCCTGGCGAAACGTGCGGTGGCCTGGTGCCGAGGGCCGAGGGCTGTCCGGGGGTGCCTGGATCGTCTCGAACGGACGGCGGAGAGCCGAATTATGACCTTCAGCCCGCGGGCGACGTCAGAGGGGGATGGTCGGAATTCCTCCAGGCGAACGGGGCCAGGCCGGGCCCGGGCTCACGCAACGAGGTTCAGCCAGCCAATTCCCTCTGGCTGACCCGGGCTTGGGGGCCACGTGGGGCCGATTCGCCTTTTCCGCCCTCCGCTGGCCAGGGTCCGGGAGCTGCTAAGCGGCCGGCCGGGCTTCGCGACAGGGCCCTGGCCGACCCAGGTTTGTGCTGTGCGTCGTCGACGGGTGGTGAGCTCTGTGGGGGCCCCCGAACGGTGCTGAGTCAGTGGGGATTCGGGTTGGCTTGGGGTTCCAGTCGGTCTCCGAAGATGTCTGCGGCCCCAAGAAACGTGCAGTGATGGACTGTGCGGTGAGGTCCTTCGGGATTTCGAGATCACCGCACGACAGTATGGCACCGCACGGTTCTTTTGAGGCCCACAAGCGCAGCCACTGTCCCTGGCCAGGCCAATAGTGGGCCCAGGAGCGGTGGGCATGGATAGATCTCGTCGCCCTGCCAGGGACGGCGTCGTGCAGCTGAAGCGGGGCCTGCAGTACAAGGTTCGAAGATGAAGCACAGCGGCATAAACGTACACTTTCGAAGGTACGCGCGGATTTTAGTTGATCAGAGCTGGACCCTCTGGCGGCGCCTATGGCGCCGCTCCTGGCGCGCTCCAGCCCCGATTCAATAAATCCAGAAAAGCTTATGATTAACGATGCTTCTTTTAAGTCTCCTGAGAAAAGGTCCTACGCCCTGGTGCCGGGTCGATCCGTCCTGGCAGCGAGGACATCTGCACGGTGCACTACCGCGGCTCCACCATCGATTGCGAGATCCAGTCGGGTCCAGAGCCGTGCCGGGGAGGCTTCGTCTTCGACGACAGTTGGGAGAAGGGCAGGAGCTCGATGAAGAAACACGTACGTAAGCATAACGAACAACGCACACACACATGCACACACACAACACACACAACACACACAACACACAACACACACAACACACAACACACACACACACACACACGCATAGGGGGTCGGAGGGAGGAGGACAGGCAATGCATGGGTGCGGGTTGTCGGACCCCGGGGAAGGCTTCCGTTCGAGCGGGGACCTCTATCACACCACACGCACCCACAGCCCCCTCCATAAACATACTAGCCTTTCGCAGCTCCACGCGGATTCCTAGGATCGGCGGTGGTTCCTCCCCTCAGAGGCGGCGCGGGAGGCGCCGCCAGGGCGGCCCAGTGCCGATCCAGGATCTCCACGCGGAGCTCCGACAATTGCCTAAACAGCTTGTCTGTCAGGTCATACTTGCATAATGTTTCTAAGAAGCCGAGCGCGGGGATCGCCGGACCTGGAATGGTTCGGGCGCCATTGTCTCCCTTGGCCTTCCATGGCTTCCCATCGTATCGGCATCTATGATACATGCGCACCTCTCTGGCCCATGTAGAAAAACTGTCTGGCGTTTTCTGCCGCAAGGGTGTGTCATGCAGGCGTTCTAGGTCACTCCCAGGGGCGCGAAGCTATTCGCGCTTCGCACGTCGCGGTCTGGGCCAGGGCGGCTGCCCTTCTCCAGGGCGGGCGGCGCGAGGGCGCCAATGTACCCGCGCGTCGCGTGCCGCAGGGCGCGATGCGCGGAGTTGGGTGGCCTCTGGGTGCTCCTTCCTTCAGGAACGTGACCTTCACCCCGAAGTCCGCAGGCAGCTTCTGGGCGCTGGCGCTGCCGCTCATGGTGCGCGGCGCCCTCTGGGAGCTCTACGTGCCGCAGGTGCTCGGCTTCGCCGGCAACGACAACCCCGACCGGCGCCCGAGGGGCGTGGGGCCGAACGCGACCCTCATCTTCAAGGCTCGAAGAAGCAAAGATACCGATGCCGCTGCCCTTCTCGCGTTTCCTTCCTCTCGGGCCTCCTGGCCTCCTGGGAGGCCCTCGTCGCCACAGATGAAGTCGCCTCGAAGTTCTGTTCAGAACGCACCCTGGGATAGGTCCAGGGAGTGGTGGCATCGGCCAGGACCAGGAGCATCGGAGAATAGCAAGTTGCACAAATATGAATTTTCGGAGCTCCGCGCGGATTTCTTGGATAGGCGGTCGGCCCCCCTGGCGGTGCCTCTGGCGCCAGTCCTGGCACGCTTCGAACGCCAGGGAGGGGGATCCAGCGCAGATCCTTCAAGGGGGAAAGATCCACCCCGACCCCCAAAAACGGCGTCCTAAACAGCCCTGGGCGTTTACTCAGCAGCCTTGCCCTGTTTGATCCCTTCCTAATGTGCGTTTGCGAATTATGACACCTATGTGATTCTGGTATCGAAACAATAGAAAACTGATCGAGCCGTTTGTCGTAAAAAGCTCGCGCTACTGACAGCCAGTAAAGGGCTTCGCTCGCTGGGGTGCTTACTGTACTATGAGGGCGCTCCTGCTGCCCTCCAATACCAGAAGAAACTCGGACGGACCTCCGAACGTTTATGCTTATGCAGGCTTCTCTTCCTCTAAAGGTGGAGCTGCTGGCAATCAAGGGGAAGGACGACGCGCCCCTCGGCGAGGGGCGGGACCCGGAGGCCGGGCCCGGGGTGGAGTTGTGACATTGTGACCGCGGCGGGCGCCTCCTCTGCTGCTCCTCCTCATCGTACCCCCGTTGTTCGCAGCCCCGACGCTGTCCTGTGAGAACGCGGCCCATTGAGCAGAAAAGTGATTCCAGGAGGGGAGGAGGAGGAGGAGGAGGAGGAGGAGGAGGGGGGGAAGAGTACAAATATGGAGGAGGGAGAGGGCGGGAGGTGAACGTTTGATGAGAGTGGTCTGGGGGCCAAGGCCGTTTTACGATGACGTCTCGGGCCCCTAATCGTTCCCCCTCGTCCCTCCTCCTGTCGTTTTCACCCTGGCCCCTAGACTGCGCTAACAGCCTTGTAGAGCCTCCTGGGCACACCTTGGAAGGCTTTCTAACATCCCAAACAGTAGTCATCCTTGTCCCTCTCCTTCCCCTTTTTCTCCTTCTCCTCCTCTTCCGCTCGTCTTGCTTCCCCCCTGACGTCCCCATAAGTCCATACAACCTTTAACATCCCAGAAGGCTTTTCGAAACATTCGGCTTCTCTCCTCTTCGTCCCCCCTCTTTCTTCCTCCATCCCTTCTCATTTTAAACCTCCTCCTCCTCCTCCTCCCTCGTTCTCCCTCATCCCTCCTCCTGCTCATCCTCCCTGGTCCTTCTTCCGTTCATGCCCCTCCTCATGTTCCTCATTCCTCCTCCTCATCCTCCTCCTCTCACTCCCCCCTCTCAGTCAAAATTTAGCCCCAGATCTCTCCAGAGCTTTTCTGACCAGGACCTCTGAGTGGATCCAGCCGTGGTGACGGTCCCTCCCCTCCCCCTTTCTGAGGCCCAAGAGAAACCCAAACACGTCAGAATCATTCATCCTCCACCTCCTCTTCCTCCGCCGTACTTCTCGTCCCTGCACCTCATCTTCCACCCTGCTCCCTCCTCCTTCTCATCCATGCGCCATCCTCTTTTTCCCAACCATCATGTGGTGTTGGGTCCTCGTTTTGAAGAGACGGCGCCCCGCGTTCCTCACCTCCTCCTCCTCCCCCCCTCCCTCCTCCCGTCATCATCATCATCAGCATCATCATCATCATCATCATCATCATCATCATCACCATCATCACCATCATCACCATCATCATTATCATCATCGTCACCATCATCACCATCATCATCATCATCATCGTCACCATCATTATCATTATCAGCATCATCATCATCAGTATCATCATCAACAGCATCAACGTCGACTGTATCACCACCATCTTTAAATACAACATCTTCCGCATTAGCATCAGCATCAGCATCATCATCACCATCATTCCTCCTCCTCCTCCTCCTCCTACTCATCCCTCCTTCGTCTCCTCCCCTCTTTCTCCCTGCTTCTTCTTCCTTCTGCTCCCTACTCCCTCCACCTGCTCCTCCCGCATCCCCCCCCACCCACCTCAGGCTCTAGAGCCTCCTCTGTCTAAAACCTCAGGCCCCCCCCCTCTGGAATACGTTGGAGACCAGTGTTCCTCTCCTGCTTCTCCTTCTCCTTCCTCTGTCCCTCCTCCCTCTCTCTCGTCTTACCTCCTCGTTGCTCATCCTTCTCCTCCTCCGTTTCGTCCTCGCCATCGTCTTCCTTCGGGTTGCTCCTCCTCATTCTACTCCTCATCCTCTCATTATCGTCTTCCTCCGCCTCCTCCTCCTCATCTTCCTTCCCCCCTCATGTTTTACTTGGATGTGCCCCCCCTGCCGCACCATCAGACGCGTCCGTCCGTGAGCCGGACTGTGCGTGTCATGTGAGATGTAGTTGGTATGCGTTTCTTTCTCCGAAGCTAAACACCTCCGACAGCTACAAGGATTGAAGGGCAGTCGTTTGCACCCTCGCCTTCGCGCCGTGCACAGTCGTCTTCATTACATCCAGCAGTCACAAAGATGGACGGCCAATCGTTTCCCAACTGCGGCTCTCGCATTTGCGCCGCGCGCAATCGTCTTGATCATCCCTCACATCCCTAAAATGTTATGTCTCGAAGTTCGAACGTTCGAACGCCTGCCACAGTACGATACACGGATGGAGGGCTTCTCTTGTTTGTAGCGGCTCTCTCTCTCTCTCTCTCTCTCGCTGAATCTGTGCACGCGGCGTTGACGTGGATGGAGGGCACATTATTTTCAAAGTGGAGTAATCGATGGGCACGTCCTTGACTTGGATGCTTTTCGCTTATCCAGAACAGGAGGAAGGTTCATTCTTAACACGCATGGTCTCGCCTGAATGGCAGGCCTACGGGGCGTTCGTCTGTCAGGGATAGTGCTTCCCGCAGTGGAATGGGATACATGCGCTGATGCTTGAGAAGGACGCTGGGGACGGGAGGGTGTATGCAGCGTCTTTGATGCATCTTGGATTCACTCTGGTCCTCACTTCTCCTCATCGCTCCTCCTCCTTATCCTCCTCCTCCTCACTCCTCGCCTTCCTCCTCATTTCCACTCCGCCACCTCCCTCAAAGTCGAGCCCCCCTCGTCATTCTTTCCTCCTCCTCATCCTTATATTCTGCGGAGCGGAGCGCCTTGGGAAACGGGTGCTGGACAAGAGACGAAGGGAAGCCGCCGCGCCCGAACTCGGAGAGTCTTGCGAGGTCTAACTCGCTTTGTGTTGATGCATGTGCGAATGCGCGATCGCTTCCCCAAAGGGCGTGGTGCTCCTCATCATCCTGCTCCTCCTTCCAACCCCTCTCCCTCGAAGTCCACCCCCAGGCCTCTCCACCAGCGCTTTCCAACCAAGATCTCGAGGCGGTTCCAGCCGGTGCGACGTGGCCCCCTAAGGGGCCCAGAGGCCGAAGGAGGCCCTGAGAGGCCCCCGACGAGCGCAGCGACAGCTCGCCGCTTGGGCCGCACCGCCTGCCCAAACTGCGAGCATGAATCGGATTCAGCCCCGAAGGAGCTGCCTGAGGGTGCACGGCCCATGGGGTGCACCATGGGTTGCAGCATCCATGGGTTGCTCCATGGATTTCGCCATGGGCTGCGTGATCCATGTGTTGCGCCAGGGGTTGCGCCATACATGGGTTGCGCTACCCGTCATGTTGTGCCACGGGTTGCCACATTGGTTGCGTCATCCATCGGTGTCTCCATGAGCTAATTATTGGTTTGCGTCGTAGGTTGAGCCGTGGGGTGTGCACGCTGTTGGTTGCGCCATGTGGTGCGCACTAGGTTGCCGAACATACAACGACCCTCCATTGATTGTGCCAAAGGCTGCGCACTCTGCGGCCGAAAGCAAAATGGCCTGCCATTGCGGCTGGTGATAACATTAACGGTCTGCTGCTATGGATTGCGCCACTGGTTGCGCACTCGGCGACCGAACGCATTGCGGCCTGCTATTGGTTGTGCCATTGTTTGCGCATCCGGCGGCCAGACAGCAGCGACATGATATGGGTTGTGTCATGTGATGTGCACTTTGCGACCGAGTTTTTGTTAATGAAAAGCAGCCTGGTATCGGTTGCGCCTAAGGCTGCACATTCGGCGGCCGAACATAAAACTTCCCGCTATTGGGTGCACCATGGGTTGGACCCTCGGCGGCCGAGTATCATCATATGCGTGCTGTTGGTTTCTCCGCCAACGTCTGTACACTCTCCGGCCGAACATGAAACTCCCTGCTACAGGGTTGCGTACTCGGCGGCCGACAATACAACGACCCGCCTTGGGTTCACGCCAAAGGCTGCGCACGCTGCTGCTGAAAATGACGCGATCTACTATTGATTGCGCCGTAGTTTGCGCATTGGGCGGGCGAACATTCATCGACCTTTTAGCGGGCGCGACCAGCCAGGCACGTTGTTTGCAATGCACAGGTCCAGGCTACGCCCGAACAAAATCAAACACCTCATAATCCTGCCTTACCTTCCTCCTCGTCCCTCCCCCCTTTCTTTTCCTCGCCCTCCACCCTCCTCCACTGCGGGCACTGCTGGCATTGAAAGGCTGAGTCATGCAGTGCACAACACACCCGCGTGCACTGGCCCAGTCTACACGTTAGCGCTGCATTCTGAACTCCCCAGGAGGCGTGCCGCTTACGGACGGCCCGAGGAACATGAAAATACTGCACCTGGTGCTTGGACCCTCCCCCCCTTCCCACTCTCTCCTTCTCGCGGTCGCCCTGGAGGGGCGGCGCGAGCGGTGCCCAAGTGTGCATGGAGGCCTGGGCCGACGAGCTGGCGGGGGCCGCGGTGCGCGCCCAGCCCCCCGCGTCGGCTCTCTGCACGCAGCGGCAGGTGCAGCTGCACGCGCTTTGGGTGCTCCACCGGCTGCTGGCGGCCGTTGAGCTGGCCGCGCTGCGGGCGAACCAAGAGAGCGAGGGGCCGGGCGGCCCCCGAGTGCGCCGGCGCTGGACGGGAGCGCCGACGTGGCGGGCTTTCTCAGCGGGCGCACCAGTTCGAACGGCAGCGGCTGGCGAGCCCGCCGGGCGGCCGCCTCCGCGCCCCTGGCGGCCGTGGACAGAGGGGCAAGGCCTGCCGCAGCGAGGCGCAGCCGAGGCCGCCAGGGCCCTTTTCGGAGGTGGCGCCTGGGCGCCGCACGTAACCTCGCAAGGCCCCGGTTGGGTCGCCTGTCTCCAGTGCGGCGCGGCTGCTCCACGCTGGCAGGTGCTGGCGGCCCAGCCATGCCTTAGCTGGGCTGTCTCGCTGCCGCCTCACGCCGCTGCGCTGGTGCTGGTACCTGCGGGGAGGGCCGGGGGGGCCGAAGCGGCTTGGCGCGCCGCGCTGCGCTGGCGGCTAGCGACGCTGGCTGGGCCGCCCGATTAGGGCTAATTCGTGCAGCAGCTCCGGCTGAGCTGCTCTGTCTGTTTCACCCCCCTCCCTCCCCCTCCATTTCCCCTCCTCGCCACACGGCTTCTTCGCGCTTGTGAAAAGCATGGAGGCGTGGGCGCAACGCTCGGAAGCTTGGAGAGCAGTGGCGCCCTCGGGCGCTCGGACTCCCAGGAACGGACTGGCCTGGACGGGGCCCCCTTCTCCCCCATTCCTGACATCCGCCGATGCGTTTTCTGTCAATCCGCAGCCCCAGAGGTCCCGACTCACTGCCCGACGGTGGTTGTTAGCCACGGAGTTGTTTAATTGAACGCCCCTGAGGGGGCAGACACCGCCGCCCCACCTTTTCGGGATCGTGGCCCCGTGGGAATGGGGGGGCCAAGACGGCGCCATAGAGTCCAACATGTCCGAACAGACGGCCCAACAAGGCCGCATGAGGCTTTGGAAATGGGGCCGAATGGGTTTGAAATGATCCCAGATTGCGAGGGGGGTCGAAAGCGGTCCCGGAGGGCAGCGACGGGAAACTGCCGAACAGGATTCGAGGAGGTTGCGGAAAACACCGAACTGGGCAGCCGAAGGTTTAGAGAATTGCGGGTGAAACTGAATAGGGATACGGAAAGGCAGAAAGGAACATTCCCAGTTAGTTTTTGGCTCCTGGAAAAGCTCCCAGTGGGTCCTCAGGGGGCGCCCCAGACGGCCGAAAAAAGCGCCAAGAAGGCGCCCAGATGGCCGAGAAGGACCCGAGAGGTTGTGAGGACGGCCGCAGAGAGAATCCGCAGGGTGGAAGCTGGCCGCAAGAGCCCGCAGAGTTGCAGGGGAGCTCCAAGAGATACGCAAGGAGAAGCGAGAAGCCCGAAAAAACAATAATTATCAACATCCTATATGTGTTCACCTTGTTTTTTAGTTGTTGGGTTTCCTGGGTTATGTGAGCCGAAGAGAGGTGGATAGCATCCGGAACGGCCGAAGGGAGGCGAAAGGACAGGCAATAGGAGGTCACATGCGAACCCTACGCCCAGTGGGCTCCCAGAGAGGTGTTTGAAAGCGCCCCGCGGCGCCCGGAAACAGGGCACGTGAAAAGTGAATCATTTTGAGGCGGAAGTGGCGGCCAGAGGGCGGCCAGTCCGTAGCTGGGGCGCCCGGGCTAGCGGAATGAGCGGACTTGGGGGAGGACCCTAGGAGGGGTGAGGGCTCAAGGGCAGGGGTTGGTATGAAGAGTGCGCGAGTGAGAGGACTCACAGACAGCACTTATGCAGATCATGCGGTGGAGACCCACACGCCGTACCTGGTGGGGCGGCGGATCGCTTCGTTCATTCTGACGGCCCGTCATGTGGCATCGCTAGCTTTTGCCCGCGCGTTCGTTGCTGGACTTGATTTGGCCCGCTCTACGACGATTCTTGCGGGATCCTAGGTCCGCCTTCATACGAGTTGAACATGGTCGGGGAGGATCGCAGGAGGCTTTTTGGGGTCCTTCGGGGGCATCTCGGGGGCCTATTGGCGGTAGTTTTGGGGCCTCCTGGGGCCTCACGAAGGCCTCTGGGGACCTCTCGGGGGCCTCTTGGGGACCTCTCGGGGGCCTCTTGGGGCCTCTTGGGGGCTTCCTTGGGTGCCCCTCTTGTGGCTTCCTTGGCTCTTGAGGGCCTCTTGGGGGCCGAGGGCTGGAAATATCCGTTCGGGTCCCCCGTCTAGGCCACCTGTTGGAACTGTCTTGGAGGCCCCTTGGGCCGCTGCCCTGTTTCAGGCCTTTGGGGGCGATCTTGGGCCGTCTTGGAGCGCCGGGAAGCCGACAAGGCGAGAACGCCCAAATTGAGGGGGATTTATGATGTTTGCCTCTCGGGTCCTTCTCAGGACGCCTCTTTGGGCGTCTTGGAGGCGTCTTCGGCCGTCTGGAGGCCATCTCGGGCGTCGTGGACGAATCGGTCGGCGACTCGGAGACCTCTTGGACCGTCTTGGGGGCCTCTTTGGGTCCTCTTGGAGCGCTCTGGGGCGCCTGAAACGCCGCACCCAGGAGGACAGCCATCTCTGGCCCAGAGTGCCCGGGCTTCTCCCGGGGTACTTTCATCCAGGGACCCCCAGTGGCCGCTTCGCGCGCGCGCGCGAATTAGATATACTGTTTACCAGTTACCGGAGATCTTAGCACGCCTCTGGCCCGTTGGGCCGGCGAATTTGTGATGACCCCAGCGCCCGACAAATGGCCCCAGGGGCCGGAATCGAGGAACGACGCCAGGATTGAACATGAGCCTCGTATGAGATCTGGGCCTCGCTCCTCCACCCTGGACCCTGTTGCTGGCACCCAGCCTCGAGCGCGAGCCAAAAGCGCCCCGCGCACTTTCTCTCTTCTCCGTCCCGCTCCTGGGGCCGTCGCCACGTCGGGTTCGGCTCCTCGCTCTGCGGCGCGGCCCGCCTTCCTGGCCTGGCGCGCCGCCTCCGTGTTGGCCGCTTGTGGCCAAGGGCCCTTGGCCCGTTCCGTGTGGGCGGCCTGCCCATGGGCGCACTCCCTCCCTCTCGGCTGGATTCAGCTTGAATGCTGGGCGGCGTTGGCTTGGGCCCGCGTGGGCCCGGGGGCGTTGCCGTGGCCCCTGAGGGGGCCTCGGGCCCTCATCACGGCCGTGCGTGAATTCAGAACCAGCGCGGTAAATGAGCCCTTCTCCTGACGCCTGTAAGTTTGCAGCCGATCGCTATCATCATCATCATCATCATCATCATCATCATCATCATCATCATCATCATCATCATCATCATCATCATCATCATCATCATCATCATCATTCATCATCATCATCATCATCATCATCATCATCATTATCATTATCATTATCATCATCATCATCATCATCATCATCACCATCAACATCATCATCATCATCATCATCAACATCATCAACATCATCAGCATCATCATCAACCTCCTCCTCATCATCATTACCACAATCATCAACATCATCACCATCATCACCCTCATCACCATCATCATCAGCATCATCATCGTCATCATCACAAGTATCATCACCAGCATCAGCAGCAGCATCATCATCAACATCAGCATCGCCATCATCGTCATCGTCGTCGTCATCGTCTCCATCATCGTCTGTCTCATCATCAACAAGACCACCATCACCTTCACCTTCTTCATCCTCAC